CTAACATTACAGAAAAAAAACTCTGCAGAACAGAAAATTAAAGAATTTCACATTTTTGTCCTAAAATCTAAAAGTTTCAACAAAGCAAGATCATATTTTTTCCGTAAGTATTTAACAATAATGTAATATTAATAGTATGCTACTGCTGACAGTAGGGTATAGATCCTATACTTAACATAATTATAATAGTATTGTTCAACATACATTTGCTTTACTTTTTTTAAATTAAATTTGGTTTAAGTGGTCAACTAAACTAATCAAATCTATTTACTACACTGCTAACAGAAAGTACATATTTTCTAGGTTTGTTTCTGTTGGTAAATTTGATTAATCTGCAATCTGTTTTTCAAGTTGTAGAAAAATATATTAACTTTTTTTAATTGTGGGTTCTTATTTCACAGGAGTGCAGTTCATGTGACCTTTGACCCTTCTGTGGTTGCAATCAAAGGAACAGACAAAGGTAACCTGACTTGTTGAAGAACTGAATTGATAATCCCACTGGAAATACTTTGTACAGCTCCTTTTTGCCAGCAGGAGAGCTCATCGTGTAACACTTCAAAGAAGGGATGTATACAGTTAATCAATTTACAACTGATTGTTGGTTAATGGTTCAATAAGTTAAATTTAGTTCCAGTTACTAATGTCCGTAGACCGTCTTTTAGTGTTGTAGTTTGAACTCCATCCAGCAGAGGGCGCCACTGGTCATCCATAAGCATAGGCTTTTTTCCCATTTCACAAGTGAAATAAGTTGCCAGTGGAACTTGTAATGTTTTATGAATATTAAGGAGGTATTGACTTACAACAAGCCCATAAATCTTGCTGAGAAGTACCTGTAAGTTAGTTTTTGTCTTATTTCATGTCTGCTAAGACATTTGAACTAGAAACTAGACCAAAAATACTTTGTAAGATTTAGTTTTTTTGCAGCGAGACTCTTAACCAGCAGTGCCAGTGATTAAATGTTAAATGATCCAGTTTAATTCCACTCTTTACCTTCTGTCTTTATTCAGATGAGGTAATGTCAATCATCTTCACCTGCTCTCGCTGTCCCTTCCACGTCTCGGACAGCACCAGTCCTCCTCACTTCCACATGCAGAGCGTTTGCACCGAGGTGTATAGGAGTTTCACAGGGGAGAAATTTATCCCGTCCCCGTCCAACTCAGATGAAATATTCACGTCCATCAAGCTTTTCCCGAAAGGAAACGGCGAGAGCCAAGATGGCGGTCCCCAGGCTCACAGCAGGAAGAGATCTCTGACGTGTGAAACGTGCGGGAAAACTTTCACTCGGACGTCTGACGTGAGGAGACACCAGCTCACGCACACAGGGGAAAGACCCTTTCATTGCTCGCAGTGCGACCGAACCTTCCAACACTCCTGGGATTTAGCGAAGCATGAGAGCAAACATCACGGCGTGGCGATTTCCTTCTCCTGTCAGCTGTGCGGCGGCTCCTTTGCCAACCTGCGGGCGCTGACCGTCCATCACAAGAAATCGCACTTGTCGGAGAGCCAGCTGCCTCACATCTGCTCCATCTGCAGCAGGAGCTTCCCCACCGACGACGAGCTGCTGGAGCACAGGAAGTCCCATGTCAGCATCAGGCGCTACATCTGCCAGCAGTGCGGCGACGGCTTCGACACGCTGCTGGCCCGCGCCCAGCACAGGCAGGCGCATCGGGTGAAGCGGCAGTTCAAATGCCCACACTGCGAGAAAACGTACACCCGCAGGTCTGACGTTAAGCGACATTTATCCACTCATACTGGGGAGCGACCACATCAGTGCAAGCAATGCAACAAACAGTTCTCCGTCCGTTTTATGCTGGTCAAGCACCTCCGGGTTCACACCGGAGAGAGACCTTTCCAGTGCGCCCACTGCTCCAAAAGCTTCACGCTGGCGTCCGTGCTGGCCCGACACGAGCGGATGCACACGGGGGAGAAACCGTTCCTCTGCTCGCAGTGTGGGAAGGGGTTTTTGTCGCAGGGAGAGCTCTCCAAACATCACAGGTCACACCTGGATGACAGGCCCTACTCCTGCCCGCAGTGTGAGAAACGATTCAAGAGCAAAAAAACCCAGCAGGAGCACATTGCCTCCCACAGCGGTGCACGGCCTTACCCCTGCGCCCACTGTGGGAAGGGCTTCTCTAAGCCGTACGCCCTAACCAGACACAACCTCATCCACACCGGGGAGAGGCCATTCCCCTGCGGACACTGCGAGAAGTCCTTCCTGACGCTCAGCGAGGCTCAGCTGCACCGCAGGATTCACACCGGGGAGAGGCCGTACCCCTGCGACGCCTGTGAGCTCAGGTTTAAGAGCTCGTCGGAGCTAGCGCGCCACAAACACAGCCACTCCGGGCAGAGGAGGGAGAAGCCGACCTGCGAGCTGTGCGGGAAAACATTTCCATCAAAGGCCAAACTGAACAAACATATGGAGATGCATATGGAAGCTACTGACCAAAATAAGGAAGCATTTAGATAATCATATGTCATTTGTGTGAAATTATAGCTTCATTTAATGTACCAACCTGTGGGTAAATTATGTGGAACATTTTTTTTTTTTACTTGTTTGACAGAAATCAATCCCACATTGTATTTTTTGTACTTTGCAATTATGCTGTAAGTTAAAATCATAGGTGAGTTCAATAAATGACTCTTGCTTCATGAATGTTTGCTTCACTTTCTTATTGTTTAATAGTATAAATATATAATATTTAACAGCAGATAAACAAACAACATATGTTACATTTCTGCCTTTATGGAAAATGTGTTGTCGTTCTTGCAAATGTGTGAAATTAATGCGGAAATTTTGTTTTTTGTCAGAAATATCCCTCTGGGTGACTACATTTATTTATTTGTTTGAAGTAAACTTGATATTAACTTTGGAAGACATCATTGTAAAGAGGTGCAGTTAAGTGAAACATTAGTGTCCATAATTCTAACCGGTAATAAAACAAAAAGATGAAACAAAGTCCACTGGCTTTGGGACTTTTTTCCTTTATGTCAGGTGATGTTTTTCCTTATTCGAAGAAGTAAATGAATGATTTACTTGGTGGATAATAACGCAGCAGCTGAAAAGTGTATGACCTCCAAATTTTGCTGCTATAACTCCAGAATCCACATATCCCCCCCGCCCCCCCCTCAGCCATAATGTCAGTGTTATGGTCCTCCTTATAAAAGGCATCATCTGAATGAGTTTAATTAACTGAGAGGTTTTAATGAGCTCTGGCTGATTGGGGGAAGGCCATTCGTCGAGCAGGAATCACCTCCATAAAACCGACCCAGCCGTTCAACGGGGCACCAGCGTGTGACTGTGTCGCCCACTCAGCCTACAGAGTGCAATAAATGCTCAATAATAGTGGGGAAGGGTCAGAGGTCTGAAATTGGCTTTCTATTATTAGATCAGCAGGTGTTTGGAGTGAATCCCGGCAGACTGGACGCTGTACGTAGAGTAATGGGTCCTGCATGCAAAGTGAAGGCCATATGTTGGGTCATAAGTCATTTATATTTGTATTTATCTGAGAGAAATGACAAAATGCTGCAGCATGTAAAATAAAAACTAAATTAAAACCAGTTATATTATGAAATTAAGTTATATTTAAGCACAAAATGGACCAGAAAATGTTACTGAATTTGTTTGGGGTTATTCAAACAAAGATTTTAACTCAACAGAGTAACGTGTGCTATTTCTTTTGTGTTTTGCTGTGACTTAACACCACACCCCTCCATATTTATTGAAGCATTTTGCAACAAATAATATATTCTATAATGTGAGCACACTTAATCATTGAGAAAAAGATATCATATTAATCCTTACTGGGGGTTTTTAATCAAAAAGGATGAGTCATCCAGTTAGAATTACTGTAAAAACTGAATTAATTTATAATGAATTATCTTAACAACTTCCACCCTACTCACTTCATATCACTGCTGTTATGTTACTTTGCTTTATTTAACAACAGACAACTAAAATATACCTTTAAAAGTTTGCATAATGTAATCAAACTGGCGTTGAAAGGATTCAAATTATTACATTTTAATAATAGATTAAAACTACATTTGATAGTTTTAATCAAGACTGAAGTTGATCAAAGTATTTGAACCTAAAACAGAAAACAGAAAACAACAACAATCGTGTATTTTTATTGCAATTTTATATTATTAATGACTTAAAAGTTGTAAATTTTCAACTTGGATGTAAATATTTTGGCTAATATTTTGCATACTAAAGAGAAATTCTTTTAAAAACAGTCTAAAAATGGTCATAGCTATTTTAATACTTCAAAAGGTTTTCTTTATACCAATAGGAGTTCAGTAAGTTTTCAAACAATTTACATATTGTAAAGGTTTACATACTTTAACCCTAGAGATAAAACTTTTGGAAGAAAAATACATTTAAAATAATGCTTTGGAATTCAAGTTGTGGCTTTTATAACATTATTATGAATCACTAAGAGCAAAAAAGAGTAGCAAAGTAATAATTTGCATATCTGTTTCTGCTCAATTTAAAGTATTTAGTCATTTGAATTAAGTGTAGTAAGCACACCAGAATTACTTCTCCACATTTATTGATAATTGGACAATAACTTAATATTTATTTTAGCTTTACCTGTGTAATAACTTTTACAAGCCAGTTGTTCGGCTTGTAAAAGTTGTAATTTTCGTCACATTATGTAATTTCCATTAATTTTCCTAATGTGAAAAAGTCTAGAGTATTTTAACCATAACCATATTTTCCAGGCATATTAAATATTTATACTGTTATTAATTAATTTTTATTATTTCTTTCTGTAACTCTAATTGGTTTCACTAATGCTTTCTTTTCAGATAAAATACTTTCAGAAAAATATGTATTTTCTACTAACCAACAGGTGTTCATTCATTGTTTTCCAAGAATTGTTGGTGTTTAAGATTCTCTGCAGCCTTCCTCCATATTGGAAAACAATAAACCTGGAAGGAAAACCTCCGCCACACCAAGAGAGGGGGTCCATCGGTTTACTATCCCTCTGCAATCACCTGACCAGAGCGAGGGGCAGCGGCGAGCAGACAGACGTCGGGATGTAACCGTCAGCGGAAGAATTTGAAGGACCGTTGACCATGCAGGTAGAAAAACAATTTCCAAATAAACGGATAAATAGAGCAGCTGTGGATGCAGATAAAGACTCGACTCGAGTCCCATCGTTGTGATTTACAGTCCGGTTGGCGTTGGAGCTCCTGGTGGCGGATTAATAACCGGTCGTAAAGAAGAAGAAGGAGGAGGAGGGAAGACTCTGATAAAGGAAGGAAGACAAAAGGGGGAGTGTGTAAAAAAAAAAGAAGGGGGCGAGCGGATAAAGCCTGAGCGGAGACCATGAGCTCTGCACTCCCTTATGACTCGCTGTCGGCCCGGCCGAGTCCCAGCAGACGGGCTTTGGATTGGGAGCGGGAGCAGCTAGCGGTCAGAAGACTTTCCTCCCCGCTTGGTGTGAACCTGCTCACTCCTCCTCCTCTTCCTCGGCGACCTTCGGCCATCCCAGGCTACCTGCTGCCTCCCTACCAAGACCAAGAGGAGCAGCTTCACCAGCAGCACCAGCGTCTGTCTTTGTCCGTTTGCTCCGAAGCCTCGCTGGCGCCTCCTGCCCCCCCGCCGGTGGGTGCTGCCCCACCTTGCTGTCGCCCAGTGGGAGTCATGCACCTCCTCCGTCTGGGTCTCCTGGCTTTCAGCTGCCTCTTCTGGGCAGCTGGGTTAGCCATCTTCACCCTTGGTGTTTGGGCGCAGATCTCCTTGGCGGACTACATGACCCTATCAGCCAATCGGTACCCCAACGCCCCGCTTATCCTTCTCTCTACCGGGGCCGCTGTTACTGCTTGGGGGTTCCTCGGTTGCCTTGGGGTGGCTGCAAACCTGCCCTGCGTCCTGAGGGCCTATGGGTTCTTCCAACTTGCTACTCTAGTTGCCGGTTTGGCTGCTGGACTTTCTGGGCTCTTCTACCGTGAAGACATCGCCGGAGGATTTCGCAGTGGCTTGCACCGAGCCGTGGCAGGCTACACGGAGGATGAAGGCCGTGCCGACGCTCTAGATAGCCTGCAGAGAGCTTTGGAGTGCTGCGGTGCTGAGGGTTGGCGTGACTGGCTGAATTCGGACTGGGCCATCCAGCACATGACTTTCCTTCCTGCTGAGAACGGCACCTCGGTCTCCCTTCCCGACAGCTGCTGCGTGAGGCGGAAAGGTTGCAGGAATCGGCCACTCCTGTCGGATGACAATGACGGAGTGGCGGCTGCAGGAATCCATCCACACGGCTGCTTCCGGAAAGTCTTCAGCTTGGTCAACGACAACGTCTTCCATATTGCTGCCTCTGTTTTAGGGTTGGCCTTCACACAGATCGGGGGCATTGCCCTGGCTTGTCTTCTGGCCAACAAACTTACACCCAGACAGCACGGACGTGTTGTGGCACACTAAAGATCTGACTGTTGTATTGACAGGTTGGTTCTGAATGAGGGATGACATCTCAGAGAAGTAAAGTATAGGAACAGGAGGTTTGTTGTTCAGGACGAAAGAATCAAAAATGTGACCTATTATGCTTTTCAGACCACATTAGGAGAGATTTACGGGTTAATCAAAACATACTAATTACATTATTATTTTTTTTTTGTTTGTTTTTTTGCACAAATTCATTCTTAGATAATGAGATTTCAGTCTGCATGACTGATCTGTTTTAGGGCATCTGGTCACTTTAAATTCAAATAACCTGCTGCTGGCCACAGCCCCCAACTCAACATTTACACTCGCACACAAAATGGCTGCAAAAAGATGCGCAATTATACAACCATCTTTGAAAAGCAGAAGTAGAGCCTCCTGTACAAGCAACAAGAATGGAGCAAATGGTTTCTGGATGGTAAGTCAACAACAAAACACTTCTGTTTTCCAGCATCCATTGTACAGCGCATGCAGTGGTAAAACCAGCTGACCAAACATGCTGGAACTCCGCTGGGGTTGCTAGGCAACAGGCGGTGCCTGCTGATTTGTGAAGTTACTTCCCAGAGGTTTTTGAAACGGCTCATTTCCCAGACACCAAAAAAATTAACGTATTGCCAAAAAACAGCTGAGTGTTGTTGGGTTTTTTTTAAACGCTTGGGCTGTTTAGACCCAAATGGAAGTATAAAAATGTGCAAAATTTAAATAGGTCCCCTTTAAAGCTCATAGATGGCAATTTGATGTAAATTGTTGTACTTGGGATGCAAGTAGAGAGATTTCTTAAGTTCTTACAGTTGCCACATTTAAATCTGTTTAGTGAATTTGGCCCATTTGAGGTGAGTATTAGAAGATTCAGCAGCTGCTGCTCATGTTTAGAAACAACTCTAGCTCATCATTTTCTCCCTTAACTAATATTTCTTCAGCCTTGACGTTTGCACAAGTTGGGGCCAAAACATTGGGTACCAGATATTTAAGCTTTCTATGGTAGAGGGAGGGAAGAAAAGAGATTTAGGTTGGACCCATGAAAGGAAAGAATGAAGGAAGCAGGATATGCAGAAAGAAAGAATAAAAGACACAAGGGATGATGGGAAGTTTGAAAGAAGGTGGAAACATAGGAGGAAGAAATGATGATGAATAAAAAAACAAAGGACTGAAGAAAAAGGAGGACAAAAAGGAAGAGAAAAGACAGAAGGTAGGAGGAAAGAAAGAAAAAAAATACTGAATACATATTCCAAATTTTTCAAAACTTTGTAGGAATCCTGACTTCGTCGGTGTCTCTTCCCCTTGGAAGTGGATAGAAATTGTCTCAATCTGAGCAACTTCTAAAACTTGCAGCAGCTACAACTCGGTGCCATGGTGATGACAGTGTTCAGTAGTAACATAATATAAATTATCTATAAATGTATATATTAAGAAGTCTCACTGATTGTATGATTTATGTGAATTTTCTTTGCTTTCTTTGTTCAGCTAAAACCTGAAGGAAGGTGAAGGAATTCCCCTGTCTAAATATTTAGGCTCCTCTCCGCTTCATTTAGTTTCCCCATCACAAAAACGTACATGCTGTATATAAACCCGCCTGCGGTCATCTTCACTGAATGTGGCTTTTATTTTCCCAGATGTCACTGCATTGGTAGATGATCCCAGAAAGAAAAACTGGAGTTTATTCCAAGATGTGTCGCATGTACAATTATTAGCATGAAAACTGTCTTGAAACGGGATTTTATGCATCTCTAATGAGTGTAAAGGTGTTTTTTAACTATGAAGTTTTGCATTTCTTTGCACAACTCCGTCCTCTTACATGTGTTTTGTGTTCATTGATGTCGTGTTTCTTCTTGTTCTTCCTGTCAGCAGCATGACTGAGACTTTAAGCTATATCTGTCGACTATAAATGAAAAATCTTTGCTTCATTACAGCCTATTGATTAGAGCGGGGGATGGAAATGTCAAGGTCTGCTGCCCTTGAATGGATTAAATGTATAAATGGAGGAATCACTCTTGCAATGCAGCAGTGACTGCATGCCAACACAGAATTACTAATCAAGCTTATATATAATAAAATACTTGCTATGCATTGCCTGGAAGTCAATGAGTTCTTATTTTCTCACTGCTGATTGCATTTTACAGAGCTCGGATGTCCCGTGTGAACTCATCGAAGTGTGCCAGAGTTGTAAATCCTCTTTACCAGGAAGAAATTCAATCATCATCAGGACCTTTGGCCAAATAATTGTGACTTGTAGCCGAGTGAATGATGGTTCGTTTCCGCCTTCCACCTGAGATGCCGGTGATTAAGTGGCCATAAAAGACAGCTTCAGAAACAACATGAACGAAGCTGCGTTGACTAAAAATCTAGAATCGGTCAATGAATTATACCACATGTATGTGCTGGGTTCATGTGTACAGGGTCTGGTTTTATAGGCTGGAACCATGACAACCATTTTCATGATCTGATTTTTCTATTGATTAGCCTACTTTTGCTCCAGCAAGTTGTGTGGAGGCTTTGTGTGATGGCATGGCTAATGTTTGACCTATTTTCCTTGAAGGGACACCAGACCAGCAGACACAGTTCAGACCAGAGGTCACAGTCTCTCATCATGAGGCATGAATATCACATTAATTTGGGTATTTTATTGATTTACTTTTTTCTTTTTCCATCGTTGACGCATGTGCACCCCCAAAAATATTGGGTTGAGTTGCAGTTTGACCATAAAATTTTTACATTTAATGATCAACCTTTCGTTGGATATTTTGCCATTTTTTTCTGGTAGATCGATGTTTTAGCACAAAGTTTGCTTATAGTTACAGTTGGGAAACATTGATGATTTAAGGTAAAGTTGAAAATGCCATACTTGGCAGAGGGTAACGTTTCTTTAGGTTTGAAAGCTTCGTCTTCCTTGAACAGGTTAGCATAGCTCTATGGGCTTTAGAATAAAAAATAAGAATTTTTCTTTGATAACAAGATTTTAGTCTGGTCAGTTCTTCTTTGAGCTGTTTTAGGGTTTAAGTAACCTCCTGCTAGCCACGCGCCCTCAAACTCAATGTTTACACTCACAGGTGAAAATGGCTGCAAACAGATGTGCAATTATACAACTGTACAACTTTGAAAAGCATAAGTGGAACTTCCTGCACAACCAACAATAATGCAGGAAGTGATTTCTGAACAATAAGTCATCACTAAAACACTTGTCTTTTCCAGCAGCCATTGTACAGTGGCTGCTGGAATCGGCCACTGTACAGAACACCAAAATGCTGGAGTTCTGATTGTTTGTTAGGTAATGGCACAGTACATGTTAGTCATCTGGAGGTTTTTGAAATGGCTCATTTTCTAGACATCAACACACAATAACTTATTTATTTATTTATTTATTTGTTTGTTTGTTTTAGTTCTTGGGCTGTTTTTAGAAGTAGTTGAGTCCCAAATAAAAGTATAAAAAAATGTGAAAAAGGAGATTTTTGCATAATAGGTCCCTTAAAGTTTGATTCAAGAGGGACGGTTTGGTCAAGGCTTTTGAAACTTTTGTTTGTTGTCACAACAGAGCAGTAATCAGAAACTTACTTCAAAACCAGTTTCTGATTATATACAAAACATTAAGCTAAGTGAGCTGCACATCACAAGCTAAATATCGGAATTAAGCCTGGAGTATGGAGTGATCGTTTTAGTTTTGTCTGGAACAACATCTTTAACCATGAAAAAAATTAACGGAATAAACGTCAGACAAATCACATTTCATTTCTTTGAACATTTCCTGATTGAAGTCTCAATAAAACAGAGTTACGCTGAAAGGATGTTTTTCTAAACTCTGCACCATCGCACATGATCTGACAACTCCTCCAAAATGTAAATATTATGCTTCCAACATTCCATAGCAGACCGCATTTGCGTCGCGAACTGGGAAAAAGTGTGCGTAAAGGCGCGTTCTCTGTCTTAAACATGCGTAAAATTGTAAGAATCGAGCCTACAGTTTTGAACTCTAGGCGTTATCTCAGTTTACTCCGCCTCTTTAAGTTTGCCCTACATCTGTCTGCTTTGGGCTCTTTTAGTGAGCGCAGCCATCTCTGAGCTCTGCCGTTATTTGTAATATCCCCCCCGCTGCGTAAAACTAAACAAAAATAACAAAAAACGAAGCGCACCACTCGGAAATGTAGTTCTTCTTGCGCACAAAGCGGTCTCCAGAAAATGGACCTTAAATCCGAGCTCCTCAAGTCGATCTGGTACGCTTTCACATCGCTGGACGTGGAGAGGTGCGGGAAGGTGTCCAAATCTCAGCTAAAGGTAAGCGGAGAGAGATTTTACAGAAATAAATAAATATTCAGGCTCGAACTGATTTCTTTTTGCTTTTTTTTTAACTTTTTATTTCGCATGTCCAAAGACAAACTAGAGACTATAAGTGTGGCTGATTTCCTGTGAGATTGTGTTTTGTGGTATGTGAAGCAACACTTGAACACACCTTTTGAGGACAAAATATTTAAGACTTATACCAACAAAAACATGAGAACAGATCCAAGCTCAAAGTCCAGCCTTTTTCCTGTGGCCTAGAAACAAACGGTGACTCAATATTTCTACTGTCAGGGTTTTTATTTTATTTGTTTTTAAAGTGGCAAAGTCGGCATCCTTTTTCTGCAGGTTTTCCGTCTTCGGTAAGTTTTATCTCTATCTGTCCAGTCTCCACATGCCTTTGCTGCTCAGAGGAATCCCAGGAAGTAGCAGACAGCTGTCCTGACACGCTACCAGCCACCGGAAGCTGCCTGTGTTTGTGTTTGTGAGGAAACATCGCAGTGTGTAGAAGCATAAGGAGATTTAAAGTGATACGTTTGTACTTGTTCTTCCTCCTCAGGTCCTTTCCCACAACCTGTACACGGTTCTGAACATCCCACATGACCCGGTTGCCCTGGAGGAGCACTTCCAGGATGATGACGATGGTCCGGTTTCTAACCATGGCTACATGCCCTACCTCAACAAATATATTCTGGATAAGGTACGGCTGCAGCTTCTGCAGCTTCTTTTGACATAAAACTGTCTGGATCGTTTTTCTCCTGAAAAATAATTTTAAAAAATCAGGTTTTATTTAAAAGCTTCTGGTGTTTTAGATACTTCTGTGTACGTCCAGAGCCATCTAAAACATTTCTGTCAAAAATAGAAACAAGAATTTTGAGATTACATCTGAAATTTTCTAGAGAAAAAAAAAAGATAAAGAAAATTTCTGAGTTTGAAAGAAATATAAAATTTTGGACTGTTTGGAAATGTTCTGACTTTGAAAAGTCAAAAATGTTTGGCTTTTTAAACTTGAAATATAGCATTTTTTTACTTCTAAAGTTCAAATATTTCCAAGTTGTTTTTTTTTTTTTTTTTTAAAAAATTTTTGAGCGTAATCTAAAAAATTCTGAGTTTTTTCAGGCGATTTTTTTATTTTTTATTTTACTTTTCAAACTCATAAATTTACATGTCTTTTCTAGCAAAGTTTTGAATTCTAGGGAGCCTACATTTTCACATTTTTTCTAGAAAAGTTATGAGATTAATAAAAAAGAAATCTGAGTTTTTTTCTTGCAACTTCTTGACTTTTCAAACTCAAAATGTCCATGTTCTTTCTAGAACATTTCTGAGTTTTTGGTGGAAATTTACTCCTTTTTTAAAATCTACAATTTCCCTAAAATGTTTTCATATCCATTCACTCTAAAAAAAGTTTCAAATAGCTTTGGAAAAGAAAAAAACCCAGCATCACAGATCCAATACTATACATAACTTTATATATCAGATGATTTTCCAAATATTTATCTGTTTCACAGCAGACCTGGAGTTTTTGTTTTGGAAAAAACTCAATCTTAGTTTTATGTGACCAAAGCGATTTGTAGTTTGCTGCAGATGTAAGTATTTAGCTCATCAACACTCTGCATTGAAGCAGAAATAAATATTTTGCATAGTTCCAGCTGTTTTAAATTCTCTAACTTTTGCTCTGACTGTAGATATTTGCACATTTAGGTCAGGAGCAATTTCCTTGTGGACATTTTTCGACTCTCCTGTTCTCATCTTTTAAAGTTGTGTTACATCATTTACACCCGTGAGAAACAGGAAGTCGTAGGTTATTTATTTAAAGCTTACCAGACAATCAACCAAAAATATCCGTTTTAAAAATGCTTAAAATAAATGTATTTAATAGGAATTGTCAGAAAGTCAGTAAGTGTGTCACAAGTTAATTATTTTATATATGCAGTGTTGTTTAGTTCCTGAAAAGCAACAAATATCCCATGTTTTTCCTATTGGAATCAGTTATTTAGGTCAAATTCAGCACTTCAAAGTAGCACACACTATTAATACAACTTTTCTATGCATCTTAAATAATTTATTAGTAAGTATTTTAGGATCAGTTTGAGGGCAGAAACCATCGCATGTCATGAGTGAAAAAAGGGATTATTTAATTCACAAAAAAAATACTGCAAAATATAATAATCCATGGTCTTGCTATTAAATTGTGTTAACATTTGTTGCTGTTTTGTAAAATTTTTGAATCTTTAGATTTGATCATCTAGGCAAGTGTGCCAACATTTAATAAAGCAAGACTAATATTTGCTCATTGGAGTGTTGACTTTTATTTTGTGAGGGTAAATTCAAATAGGAAGTGGTAATTATTATATTTCTATACCCTGTGTTGTCTTCCTGATCTGGTTTAAGAAAAAAGTAGCGCAGATACAAGCAGTAAAAACAAGAAGGACTTAAAGAACATGACAAAACATGAAGGGAGCCAGTGACACAGCAATAGAAAACAGGGCAAAGAGAAATGAAAGGCAAAAGTACGGAAGAGGATTAGAGTCAAATTTATTTTACTTTTTTTCTGAGGAAAAAAGTCAGAATTATTTTTCTTTTCAGTGGCTCTAATCTTCTTCGATACAAAAGGCTTTAGGAACTAGTTTGAAAAAGGAAAGAAAAGTACCATAATGTGAGTTAATGTGACGCATTTTATCACACATTTCTGTACTTCCAGGTGAAAGAGGGGATGTTTGACAAGGAAAGGTTTGACGACTTGTGCTGGATGATGACCATGAAGAAGAACTTCAACGTGACGCCGCAGAGGCTGTCAGAGCGCGACTGCTTTAAGCTCTTCTGTTTGTTCAACCTGCTGTCTGAGGACACCTACCCACTGGTGATGATCGCAGACGAGGTAAAGGAAGCTCAGATTTATCCACCTACACGCCTTTACCTGGTCTCATGTCTGCTTGTGGTTGCAAAGGAACTAAATGGAGCTATTCTGATAAAATCTGAGAAATGGGAGATGAGTAACTGATAATAAAATAATTTGTTTTTTTATTTTTATTTTTTTTGCAAATCATTTCTGGAGTGAACGTTCAAAATTAAAACATGACGTGGACTGATCTGTGTATAAACGTGATGTTTATATGCTTTTACAGGTTAACTAGATGTTGCACTTTGTACTGTTTTAAGAAATGCACCACTTGTGCAAATATTAATAGTAATGTTAGAAATGCTCCAAAGCAACAAAAAACCTCTAAAAATCCTCCAAACTTCACAGAACGTCTTCACATTAAGTTTCCTACAGATTATTTTAGATTAACAATCTCTAACTTTGCTGGTCAAGGTGAATTTTTGAACATGGATCACCACTCATGTCTTTACTGCTTTTGTATTTATCATTTTCATTTGTTCAAAGCAGCAGTAGTTCATGTAAAATGATGCTTCGCTACGTTTTATTTTGTCTACAACAGTAAAATAATTCTGAAGCTTATTCCTGTTTCTTCCCTCGTCCGTGGCGTTATATTTGTGCTACTAACTTATTATGCAGTGAGACTGATCTGAGCGCACATATCTATGTGAACTAATAATAATTTTAGGTGTTTAAATCTCGCTCTGGAACTAAAGTCTGACAACTTTTGCTGAACCAGACAAGTATTATTTATTCTTTGAAAAATGCAGCAAAATAAATTGAAAAATCACTTATTTTTGTATATGTGTTTGCTAAATAATGCTTTAGAAAATAACTAACCACATAACAGTGACGAAAATACCAATAAGTGCAGCTCTGACAGCCAAGTGGTTTCACATTTCTTCATAGTGAAAAAGAATTAAAGCACAAGTAAGTTAATGAGGCTCTTCCTTCCTCCGCTTCCTCCAAAATGCTTTTGGTTTCCTGTAAGTCAGAGACAAAAATACCCCTCTGCTGTACAATAAGCACAGCAGCGTTCTCCTAGCGAAGCACAAAACCAGACGCTCTCTCTAATCTAAAGTGCTTGCAAAATAAATAATCCCAGTTGTGACATTTTTCCTGCTTCTAGGTAGAATATCTCTTGAAGAAAATCTGCACAGCTATGAGCCAGGAGTGGGACGGGAAGCCTTTAGAGGACCTTATAAGCCGGGACCCCACGGTGCAGGAAGAGGGCATGTCGGTGTGGACGTTCCTGGAGCAGATGAGTACGGGTCAGCTGCTGAGGGTGACCAGCGCCGAGGCCTTCAGCTTGGCTTTGCACGAAGTCTTCCTGGAGATGTATCACAATGTCCTCAAGAGGGTGGGTCCTCCTGAATCCACTCAGGAAGCGAGAATGCGCTCCAAACGTTTGACCCAGAGTGTGCGCCCCCTTTTCGCAGGGCTACATGTGGAAAAAGGGGCACATGCGCAGGAACTGGACAGAGCGCTGGTTCGTGCTCCGGTCCTCCTCCATGGCCTACTACGTCAGCGAGGACTTGAAGGACAAGCGAGGGGAAATCCAGCTGGACAGGAGCTGCGTTGTAGAGGTGGGTGAGGAAACATCTCCGGCAGGACTTTGATCCGCCCAGAATTTGCGTTTCACAAACACACGTTATCAGAGTCTGAGCCTGTTTGCTTTCTTTGTTTCTGTGTGTTTTAGCCTGTTCCAGACAGGGAGGGGAAACGCTGCCTGTTCTGTGTGAAAACCCACAACAAAACCTACGAGATGAGCGCTTCTGACCAGAGGCAGAAGGTGGAGTGGACTCAAGGTGTGTGCGAGAGTCGATCAGCAGAAAGGTCAAATTAAAGCTACACTGATGTCATCTCAGCAGGGATGATTGTTTAAAGGGGACCTTTTGTGTAGAATTCACATTTTGCACATTTTTATACTTCCATTTATGAATCTACTGCTTAAAAAAAAACACCCAGCTGTTTTTTTTAAATAAGTTAACCCTTTGTGACCTAAGTTTCAAATATAATTGTACAAAGTTCTTTAAATGTCCTGTGAGTAAATATATTTGCCCATTTCTCTAGAATTGGAACTTTCTATATCTAGCAAGTTATTTTCACATTTTACCGCAAAAGAGTGCCCCTCACTGATTTCACTCCCTGCTACAGCGGGGGTGAAATTACCATAATAACCCGATATTGGCTGGAAAGCGCAACGCCTCCCCTTTCAGAAACCATTGGGATTTTTCAGATATCTCAAAGTGTGGCGGAGCTACGGTGCTGCAAATTTGGGTGGACCGTCGCCAAAACGTTCAGTCTGGAAGGGTTAATGTCCGGAACAGTCAATAGCTAACCAAGCTAGATAGACGAGGTTAAACAGGACAAGAAAGCTTGTAAAAATGTCACACAAGTCTTCCACTGTTAAATGGAGAAGCAGCGTTCAGCTTCTATGCACCACAAATCTGGAACAAATTTCCAGAAAACTGCAAAGCAGCTGAAATACTGAGATCCTTTAAATCAAGACTAAAATCCCAGCTGATTTTAACATTATAAATTAAACTTTAATCAAACATGCTTCAATTGTTGACTGTATGTTCTAAGACTTTGAAATTTTGTGTTTTTATGCTGTAAAGCACTTTGAAATGCTGAAATGTGCGAAGCAGATGAACTTGATTGATTGTTTTTTTTCACTTGTATCTTCGTCCTGCTCAAGTAAAACTGAAATAAAACATCTTCATCTGTGTTTTCTTACCTCTGCAGCCATTCAAACAGCCCTCCGTCTTCAGCGTGAGGGCAAATCCTCCCTCCACCAGGAGCTGAAGCTGAAGCGGCGCGTCCAGCGAGAACACAGCAACCGGGAGCGCAGCCGCAGCGCCCGGAGCAGCTGCAGCAGCCGGAGCAGTCAATCAGACGACTCCAGCTTCCAAGAGATGGAGCGGATGGAGAAGGAGAAGCAGGATTTGGAAATTGAGAGCATCATTCAGGTGAGATGGAGCAGAAGGTGGAGTTTTGTCACCGTTGCGTTTCGGGGATTTTGTTGCGCTTCACTTCACCTTCTGCGTTTTGCAGCATGCACGAGAGTTGGAGATCCGCAGAAGGGAGTCGGAGGAGAGGGAGCGGAGGAAGCAGAGGGAGGTGCAGATGGATCTGGAGAGGCAGCTGAAGGAGGCAGAAATGGTTGGTCAAAGTCACAAAACTCAACCCGCTCATTCACTTACACATGTGACAACAGCAGCAAAATGTTAGCAGTAAAATAAAACTCCCAACTTAGCACAATACTAAACACTACTTGCTACTCTGGCTAATTTACCATAATAGTCAAAACATTAGTGGTGACATATTAGTTTTTATTCTTAGTTTTTTCTTTTTGCGTTTGTTTCCCCCGCCCCTGCAAAGTTTGTTTTTGGCGCAGCTCTTTAAAGATATGATTGTATATTTAGCTGTTACCTAAAAAGAACCATTATAGATGGCTGTGACTTTAGAGACAAAAAATGTAGCAAGAAATTCATAAGGAACAGTGTGACATCAATTTTCTTAATTTGTTCCCATGTTACGGAGGGGGAACAGATCATTTGGCAGATAAAGACCAAATGTACCCAAATCCACAGGATTTGTTGTTCATGATGAGAGAAATAAATACAATTAATGAGTTTTTGAGAAAATGATCAGTTCCCATGTTACTTAGGGGGAACAGATTATTTCAGGCAGTTGAAATATTTGGTTCCTCCCAAGTAACTTTGGCAATTAAAGAGCAAATGTTTTTTTTAACTGGTTTTCCAGCTGTATGCGCTGTACAATGGTTGCTGGAAAAGACAAGTGTTGACCATCCAGAAACCACTTGCTGCATTCTTGTTGGCTGTGCAGGAGGCTCTGCTAATGCTTTTCAAAGATGTACAGTTGTTAAGGCGCCAGTTTGCTGCAGTGTATCTGCTTCTGTCCAGATGAGGGACAGCATGCAGGCTGAGATCCAGGAGAAGGAAAGGAAGGCCGAGCAGCAGAAGAGACGGATCCAGGAGCTGGAGCTGACGCAGCAGAAGCTGGAAGCAGCTCTCAACATGGAGATCCAGGCTCGGCTGGAGGAGGAGAGGGCACGACAGGAGCTAGAGAGGTTTCCCTTGCCGTTCTTACGTCACGTTATAATCGTGTTTGCAGAAATGTGTCGATGGAGACATTCTGTCCCTTCCTCTTCTCAGGTTGCTGGAGGCTGAAGAGGAGAAGAAGAGGCAGTTTCAGATTCTCCAGGAACAGGAGAAGATCTTACAGCGCTTTAGCTCCACTTGCGAAGCCTCAAACGGGACGGTGGACGAGACCACGCCGTCCGCCCTCTACTCAGCCTCGGTGGAGCTCCGAAATTTGCAGGCGTCTCGCAAGAGGAGCCATCAGCACCTTGAGGTGACAAAAGAAACACACATGAAGCGAAACAAATTAGATTTGGGGGACAAAAAGACAGACACAGATGTGAAACTTTGTTGGATTTCCAGGAGATGCAGGAGAGGCTGAGAAATGCCAGTCAGCACGTACGCCACTGGAACGTCCAGCTGAACCGCCTGATGACGCCGATCACTCCTGCAGGTACGAAATGACTTCACCGCTTTGGAAAACTTTCAGTGTCTGGACATAAAAACAACATTTTCCTAATAGTGAAATAGAAAACGCAAAAATTCTTAAAGTTCAAGGAAAGTTACTTTCTATTTTTATAAATAATTCATAAACATGACTCTTTTGACTTAAAAATTCTCAAATCATCTATTTATAAAGAGTCTTATAGAGAAATGTTAAGGCATTTTACTGGACAAATAAGTCTAGTTTGTGCTCACTTATATTCAATCCAGATGAATCCAAATCATTCCAATGAATAGTTTTAAAACTATAAGTTGAACACTTTATATAAACTTTATTATAAGACACATTTTTGTTACAGTCTCTCTTTAAATCAAACCAAATTCATCCTTTAATCCCTTTGTAACTAATAGATAGCTAGCTAGCTAGTTAGATGGCTAGCAAACTAGCGGGCTAGCTAGCTAGCTAGATAGATAGATAGATAGATAGATAGATAACAATGGATTAACAGTTGACAATCTAGACTAATTAATCATATCTAATATTACTTGTTAACATTTTAATACTGAATGAAATGCTGGATGGACATTTTACAAAATTAACTGCATGGTCAAAACAAAATTTTTTTTTTTTTTTTTTTTTTTTTTTTGGCAGAGCGTTTGGAAAGTCGTCTTCAGTCAAAATTTTCTTGTCCCAAAAAAGAAGGAGCGCTGGCCAGCAACGAGTTCATCTGTAAATATAAGATAAGGAACGATCAGAACAACAGGATGCTTGGAGACGACTCGGAGAAACTGGAGGTGCAGCGGGAGGCCAACTGCCTCTCAGAGGAATCAGGATGTTAGGAGTTTTAATCACATTTCAACTGTAATTTATCTTAAAATAGAGCAATACTTTGAATTACTCAAGAAACACCTACAATGTAATAGGAGGCGTTCAGAGAAGTTTTTTTTAAAAGCACCAAGTTGGGAAATTTCTGTACACGAGCAAATCAGAGAAGAGGATGGAGTGTAGATGAATCACGGAGAGAGCTCCTTGGAAAGATGTGGTAATCATTAATAAATACAAAAACTCTTTCAGAAAACTGTTTAAGAGGAAATGTTCTTCCTGCAGAAAGCATTGAATTATATTTATTATATTTTGAGTGTAAAGATGGAGAGCAATGATGATAACATAAGACCCAATCTGATTGGCACTGAGCAATAATAAGAGTTTTCTACAATAAATTCTCTGGAGGATTTGAAAAAGTTGGTCATGTTTGTCGCTTAAATTAAAAGTCTGAATGTATTGTTGCTGGTTTTATTTTGCTCTTTCTCAACTGTCGTCTAGTGGAAATTATAAGATTCATGCAAACATGAAGATGCTGTTTTACTATCTTGTTTTTTTCATTCTGGAAGATTTTTGTTATTGGACAAACAAGATTACATATAGATGTACATATAGTGTGCAAAAGTTTAATTATTTTCCAAAGATAGATCAGAGAACATTTTTGCCGCTATGACAAAAGGTTTTCAGACTGAGATCTTCTTTTTTTTCCCACAAAATATACTATTTTAATTTAATGATTTTTAAATCCATTGAAAACATTGAACTTTTTTAGCATAAATGTATTATGTCAATGAAAGTATGAAATGTTTATTATTAAACTTCACGCGGAATATTTTTGGCCAGAGGAGGCGCTGCAGAGCGAAAGCACCGGATCGTGAACCGGAAGAGAAACAAAACCGACTGAATATTCTAAACAATATGGCTGCTCCCTATGGCTGTCATGCCGAGCTGAGAAAATAGTTCAGTTAGAACTATTTTGACTTTTATGTTAGTTTTGCAGATTGTTAAAGCTGGGTGTGAGTTGGTTTTATTCGGAGCTAACTCATGCTAGCACCGAAGGTTGTCGGAATGGCTGCAGCCTTCAGAGGGAAGGTCAGACAGATGGTCTATCTGAGCCGGAGACTGTCCACCCAGGAGCAGCCTGGACCTCCAGACTCTTCCCCGGAGAGCCAGTTACCTGCGGTCAAGGTGCGAAGACCGAGGAAGGATCCCAGTGGCCATTCCGTGCTTCTCTTCCCCGGGCAGGGTAGCCAGTTTGTGGGTATGGGTAAAGGACTGACGAAGTACCCCAACGTGAAAGAGATGTTCTCCGCAGCGCAGGAGATCCTCGGCTACGACCTGCTAACACTCTGCCTGGAAGGGCCGGAGAAGGAACTGCTGAAGACGGTGCACTGTCAGCCGGCGGTGTTCGTCACCTCTCTGGCTGCGGTGGAGAAGCTGCACCATGAAAACCCAAAGGTCACACAAACTGTTGTTTAATTACCATTTCTGTTGAGGTTTAACTCAAAATAAAGTAGAAATACATTATAGTTTTCACCTGTTTTTCTCAAGTTAAAAGTAAAAAGTAAGCGTTCAAGAAATTCCTCAAAAAAAAGTGAAAAGATTACTCATATCCTATCATCTGATTTAATATTTTAAAATGATGTCATCAGATTGATGGCATCATCAATCTGTAATGTATATATAAAAACATACTGATATTTGAAAGTTTTCCCCCAAAAACCGTGCTAAGCCCAGTGGTTGGGTGCTAGTCATTCATCCAGCGGCCCGCTGTGTTTTTGAGTTAAAAAATGCTTAAAGTTGACAAGAAATTTGAAATTATCACTTGATAATTGTGTATTATTGGAAGGTTGGAAGATTAATATCTGAACACCAACTATAAAGTCTTAAAAATGCAAACGTTAAAAAAAAAAAAAACTTAAATAAGTATTCCTAAGCCTGGTGGGGGCACATGTAAAGCCTGTTGGCCCGCCAGGCTTATAATACACTAACAGAAACCCTGATTTGTGAGCATTTTCCTCTGGTCTCAACAGGCTATTGAGACGTGTGCCGCTGCTGCAGGTTTCAGCGTTGGTGAATTTGCTGCTCTTGTTTTTGCTGGAGCCATGAACTTTTCAGAAGGTAAGCATCACTTTTTGTCAAAGATGTATTAATATAGTGAAAGTCTGACGAGAGATTCTTAAAGTTTTAATGTATTTCCTTCTGCTGCTCTTCTAGCTTTGTATGCAGTGAAGGTGCGTGCAGAGGCCATGCAGAAAGCCTCTGAACTGGTTCCCAGTGGGATGCTGTCGGTCGTTGGCAGACCACAGGCTCATTATAAATACGCCTGCCTTCAAGCCAGAGAGCACTGCAAGAGTCTGGGGATCGAGGATCCCGTTTGCTCTGTGGCCAACTATTTATTCCCTGATGGCAGGGTCATTGCAGGGCACAAACAGGTACGAACCGTCGCTGTTCAGCTATAGATTTGGCACCAGTGGAATATTAATGTGGCTTTGGGTTTTGTTTAGGCCCTGGACTTCCTCCAGCAGAACTCGCGCCGTCTTGAGTTCATCAGGGCCAAACCTCTCCCAGTTAGCGGAGCGTTCCACACCGAGCTGATGGCGTCGGCTACCAAGCCGCTCAGAGAGGTGCTGCAGCAGGTGGAGGTCAGTCAGCAAACGTTTCCTACACTACAGGCTACACTTCTGCTTTATTACATCCACCTAACAGAACTAGTTTTCTAATTGTTCTGATTACTCTAGTTCTTTTAATTTGTGCCCCTTCTGATGTGTTTTCTGTTGCAAACATATTAAAATTGAATTGAAGGGAAAATATGCCTGTTTACTGTTGCTGTTTTATGTACATGGGGGTAAAATAAAATGAAATCACATTTTTAAAAGTTATGAACATGTTCCCCAAGTTAATTACAAATGCACTTCATTTTTTACATTTTGTTTAAACAGTTCCATTTTTATTAAGAGAAAAATATTACAATTAATAAAGCTACAAATTTCTGATTAGACATAATCACTTTCCTGACATAATAAACAAGCATGTTTTATATTTTATATTGGGGGATATGAAAAGATTAAATAAAAATTACCCACATTCTCGTTAACTACTGGGAATTGTATACGTTGTAGTTTATATAAAAGCCAATCAGTAAATAATATTTTAAAGAATTTAAGTAAAATGTGTCAATATAGTATTATGTAGACAAATTCTTATGAAATGTATAAATATTCTTGGATAATATATAATAATTTCACTATCTACTAAGTTATTTTATGTATCCTGAGCAACAGCATAGCGGGAAATAATTTAAAATGTTAATTTGGCTCATAAAGTATGGATCAACATTTGATTGGTTACCCGACATAGTAAAACATTTTCGACCAATCACCTTTGCTCTAACAGTGTTAGCTCCGCCTACTGAGTTTCAGCGTTGATTATATCGTTTAAAATGCTAGAATATAATTGAATAAATATAATAATTGAATCATGAAATATTCTGTTAAAATGTAGGGAGTCATTTTTTTAATATATTCTTGCATTTTTAAAAACATTTTATAGTTTATTATTCATGCATGATGCATAGCTGTCCAGTTCATCCAGCTGCTCTACATAACTAAAGTTTATATTGAGGAATGTTTATTTACAAAAGAAAATGCCTTTCTTTTTATTCTTTTGGGCCTGCTCAGGTGCAAAAGTGTAATTTTATTGTCAATTTTGTTATTTTATTATGTGTTTTTTTCTCTTCACTAGTAGTAGAATTGTTGTTTTTAATTATAATAAATAAAGTAATTAAAGTTGCATGTTTTTTTTCTCCTTTATTCGGTTACCATATCAACAAAAAACACACCTAAAGGACTACAATGGACTCTTTTTTTTTTTTTTTTTTCACATTTAATTTAATTTTATGTGTTTATATCGCAATAATAATACTTTTTAAAACATTAAATAATTTTCCAACATTATTTCCCTTCCAGGTGCGACGCCCCGAGATCAGGGTCTACTCCAATGTGGACGGAAAGCGCTACATGAGTGAAAGCCACGTTCGCAAGCAGCTGGTCAAGCAGCTGGTGTCGCCGGTGAAATGGGAGCAGGCTCTACATGAAATCTACGAAAGGTCGCAGGGGGAGAGCTTCCCTCAGACGTTCGAGGTCGGTCCCGGGAGGCAGCTGGGCGTCACGCTCCAGAAGTGCAACAGGAAGGCCTCTCAGTTGTACGCTCACGTGGACGTCACCGCAAGCGAAAAGTGACTCTAACGTTGGAAAAGATTGTGTATAACCATGTATTTAATGAAATGTTTTTTTTAAATAAACACGCCAGTCGGTTTTTCTCATCTTGAAGTTTATTTGTAAGACGTGGGGAAAAAAACAAACACAAAAAAAAAGCCTCGTCAAATCCGCAACAGAAAGTCCAGCTCCCGTCATTTCATCACAAGCAAAGCTACACATCGTTTTGTAAAAACCTTGGCCTCTTAAACCAGTAAGAAACTGCAAAAGACTGCAGGCCAGCAACAGTCCAGTCATGAGAAACATGCTTTCTGATATCAGTGCAACGGCAAAACAGCCTTCCAGTGCTACAATGTTCTGGCTTTTCAGGAAACTCTTTAAAAAAAAAAAATAATTAAACCAATCTGGAGGTGCTTCAGTGAATTTAGCAACACAGTTTTTTAAGCTTTATTCTAAGGAAGGCGTTTCCAGTCTGTCGTTAACATCAATACAGCTCATGGAAATGGTATAAAAAAAGAAAAGTAAACAGCAGAAACAAAAATCAGCATTAATTTGAAATCAAATGCAAACTTAGTTTTTTTTTTTTTTTTTTTTTTTCATCAAACATACTCAGACTTTCTTTGGGCCTCTTCCCAGGCCTCCTCTTACATCCACAATCCACCAAAAATGCTTGCTGTTGCCAGCAGTGCTACGGCCATGAGTGCTCCTCTGGTCCAGCCAGGCCAAGCCACCACTTTTAAACTGCTCACCTTGAAAATGATAAAAAACAATGTGATTTTACAGTATTAAGGGAATAGGTGTTTTAGAGTATCTGGAAAGGTTAACTGGATAGTCTGTCTATCTTTAGCATTCATGACAGGCTGTGCTGAGCACAAAGTTTAGCAAGTTTTCTTTGGGAAACCCTGCGCTGCAGTGAAGATCAAAGAATTACCCAGGTTGCCTTTGCCTCGGCTCTGAGGTTCCCCGTCCCGGACGTAACGCTGACAATCCAGGTCTTCACCGGAGCCAACAGGCTCTGGAAACCCCACAGCTGGTTGTGGAGATCCCTGTAAAACACCAACCAAGATAACAACCAAAAACATAAATATCCAACTAGAAATGTGAGATAAAAACAAAACAAAGCATGTTTTTGTACCTGCAGATGATCCGTGTCAGAGTCCGGGCAGGTCCCAGCAGGTAGAGAGGAGTTGGCGGCCAGTTCGGATCTCTCCTGACCCGCTCCTGGTCCAGAAGGTCTCCGAT